AGTCATGTCTTCGCTGCCGCCCTCCGTCCCATGAATGAATGAATTGTTTGGACATATCCTTTTCCTCATCACACGTGAATGGCATCACTTTCATGCATTCGTGATGTTTAGGAGGAGTGGGCGGTTCGTCTGTTTTTGTTTTTCAGTGAACAGTGTTAAGAAATTGTCATAAAAATAACGAAAATCAGATGGTGCGGTTACAAAGGGCCTAAGCTGACTTTTTACTACGAGGCTTCCCAAATATTCAAATCCGATTAAGAGGTATGACTAAAGCCTAATATAAACCAGCAAGAAGTACAATAAAAGTAGTCCAATTGTTGTAGACAAATCCACTTATAAATTACAGGCATCTAACTCTCCCCGATGGGTGACGTAGGGGATTATAGATACCAAGCAGCGGTTCTGATTGACGAGTAACGACTCGCTGTGGCGGATATACTCAGGAAGTGCAAAGCCCATATTATTGCCTTACAGGAAATGCGATGGAAAGGGACTGGCGTAAGAAAATCAGATGATTACGCTCTGTATTATAGTTGTCATGAAAGGATACGTGAATTTGGCTGCGGATTTATGGTTAATAGTAGAATAAAAGACCTCGTCTCCAGATTCATTCCAGTAGATAATTTAATTTCATTTCATTTGCGCTCATGCTCCGGCGAAGATAAAGATGAACAGACATGTTTTACGAGCGCCTAAAACAGCATATTAACGTTGCCCTGGCCATGACATTAAAATTCTGCTAGAAGATTTTAATGCAAAAATCTAAAGGGGAAATATTTTTGGTCCCACCGTGGGAAAATTCAGTCTCCATGAAGAAACATCCGACAAAGGCATGAGATTGATTGACTTCGCCGCAGAAAAAAACATGGTCCTTAGCAACACCAGATTCAAGCATCTCGATATACACAAGGCCACCTGGATTTCTCCTGATCAAGCATCGAGAAATCATATTGATCATGTTGATCATACGAGGAGCGAATATCGATTCGGAACATTACCTTGTGACAGCCAAGCTTCGCACCCGTCTTAATGTAGCAGCAAAGTGCGATGTAAAGTAACACGGAAACTCGACGTCGAAAAGCTGCAAACACAACAGATAATAGAAGCCTACTCCGCTCAACTTGCACACCTGCTTGACGAAAGCACTCCTTGTCCCGATAATAATAATATAGAAGCACAATGGCAAATAATTATCCAGTCTCCGCAAACTTCAGCAAAAGCAACACTTGGGTACCAAAAACCTCCATCAAGAAAAACGTCGTTTCCACGACATAGGGGTCTACGATCGGAAACGACCCGAGTCTTACTCGGTCAACGTCTGTCACCTCAGCCCATTGTGTAAAGCAATAGGGCTGCTACAAAAACAACATCAAGAAACCTGTGGTACGATCAGGAGTGTCATAATGCTACGTAATGCGAAAAACGCGTGTAGGGCAACCCTGCAGACAGTAATATCACGTAATGCGATGGAGAATTATCGGGAGAAAAGGAGAGCCGAGAAACGTATTTTCAGAGAAAAGAAAAAAAGCTGAGCGTGGGCAAATCGAGATGTGCGGGAGTCAGAACGAAGTCCAGAAATTTTACCAACGAGTAAAACACCAAACCGAAGGCTTTTGTGCAGGCACATCCTCCTGTCGAGAGGAAGATGGAAACCTGGTGTTAAATACAGATAGCGTGTTGAGGATCTGGAAGGAAGCATTTTGAAAAGCTTCTAGTATCAAATAGTAGCGACGAAGAAGATACCCCAGAACCAATAAGAGATGACGGTATAGATTGTATACTACCTAGCCAAAATGAGGTTAGAGTAGCAATTAATCGGCTCAAGAACAATAAAGCAACATGTTCCGATTACCAGCCGAACTATTCAAGACGCTGGTCAGGAGCATGCACCAACCGATTAGTACAATTTGGCTTGAGGAATACATGCCCAATGATTGGAACCTCAGCATTCTGTGTCCCGTGCACAAAATATGAGACAAGACAAAATATACGCCCATGTGCTGCATTTCGAGTTTGCTCGAATGTGAAACATTTTCCCAAATTTGGTGTGCTCCATTCCGAATTCCCAAAAAAATATTGGGAATATAATTCGAGCACATATAGCCTTGTGGATTGAAAACGAAATGAGATCGTACGTGTTTTTCTGAGCACGTACACGTTGAAAAAGAACGCTGAAGTAATATTTAATGTGTTTTTACAATATTTATTTAAAAAATACAGTATTTACATTAGTTTTTATAGTAAAATTAAAGAAAATAAAAAAGGGCTCCTTTTATCAAAAACAGCGCGTAACATTTTTCAGATCAATCTGGCAACTCAACCACCATATGATCAAAATAAAAATAGAATCTATAAAAAATCTACTTTTAAGATTTCCAAACGTCCTTTTAATAATGTTTCTCTATCAATCAAAAATGTTTCTAAAGCGTAACCACTGTCCCCCAGAACCAACTATTTTGCATACCATTTCCTCTTTTGTCAATGCTGCCTAGCTGCACTCATATGCCAAATAAATGCATCATGGCTGGATCCTGGTCTGCAGCTGTCCACAGCTTGCATTACCCTCCACAATATTTTACACATTTTGGGCGATCAACACTTATATTTAAATCATTTGCCACTTCCCTCTGCAACCCACCAACAGCCAGAAATCGTAAGGTAGCTGCTAACCGCAGGCTTTCGGGAATGGTACCCTTGTGTATGAAAGGACCAACTTCTCTCAAAATATCCATAAATGCTTATTTTAACACGTTCCAGTATCATTAGACTTTTTCTGGTAGAAACCAGGCATATTTTTTTCTTAATTTTGTTGTTAAACAAATTGCAAATTCCATTGAAACATATGTTTTTTTATTGAACACATTTCGTAACATATTGAACACAGCTATGCTTTCGAGCCGCACTTTCGCTCGAAATTGAGCACACCATTTTGCACATCATGGGAATTTAAAAAAGTATGGGAATTCAAAAACTCTCGGAACATGTCACATGGGCGATAAAGTGCTATTTAGCGTGCTTTGTGAACGACTGAAGCCAATTGTCAATGAGATTATTGGTCTATATAATGTCAATGTATTTTTTTCACAGTAAATTTATGTTTGCAATAGCGAATTTTTTCATTTTGTACTACCGGGCCCCCCCCCCCGAAATGAAATCCTGTGTACGTTGCTGCTAATGCGGCTTCAGGCCTGGCAAATCCACCATTGACCAGATTTTCAATCTGCGCCAAATACTGGAAAAGACCCACGATAAACACATCGACACATTTCACCTATTCGTCGACTATAAAGCCGCATTCGACATCCCTATCCGCTCAGAGATGTTTAAAGCCATGTCTGCGTTCGGCATTCCTGCAAAATTAATACGGCTATGCAGGATAAGTTTAAGTGGCTCATTGCCTGCAGTTAAAGTCTCGGAGCCCTTCAATACCGAACAAATGTGAACAGCAATGTCCCTCTGTACACCAAACAACACATGTTACTCGACTACGTCGTCATAATGGGTAAAATTGGGAGCGGTAACAGCTACCTTTGAAGAAATTGATAAGGAGTCTGCCAAAATGGGAATGGAATGGCGAGAAGACCAAACTGATGGTATTAACGCGAAAGACGTCCAGTGGACTCGGACCAACTGTGGAACTTGAAAACTACAGCTTCGAGGTAGTGAACGATTTTATATACCTCGGTACCGCCACAAACAAAACAAATAATCCGGAGGGTACTTGCGAAAGCAGATGAGGCAGCTTTTGGAGGGTTTACTCTTTCGAGTCGAGCTTAATGATTTAAGTTTGTTTTTAATTTTTTGATGTTTATGCTGATTTCGGCGTGTCGATTGAGGGTTAACATATTAGACAAAAATTTTGCTCACCTTTGTAGCAGTAACATTGCCAAAGACGCAAGGGTTTCGAGAAATCCTAATCCGAATATTTTCAAATCTCTTAAAATGGGGGTATATTAAACATTTAATTATATGGAAAACAGTAGCTTTTAATGTACATATATACATACCATACGCTAGAAAATAAATTGCCCATCAATTAAATATACCACACATATATACACATGTATGTTTGTTTATTGTTTTTAGACTTAATGAATTAAGCTTTTCTTTGTATTTGTTGGTTTGTTTGATTTTCTTTAATTTATTACAATTATAATACTTATCGAATAAAAAAATAATAATTTATCATTATATTTGTTCTTTGTTGTTTTTTTACGATTTTTCTCATCTCTTTTAATGCTTGCGTTTTTGTTTTTTGCATTTATCGCTTAAATTTATTTGCATCCATTCTAGGCTACATTTACATAAAAAATATTAGTATTTTCTTTTTATTATTTATTATTGAATTAGATTTTTGTTATTTTTTGTTTTTTTTTATTTATATAGGCATTTACGCGTGTTTTGTGTTGGTGTGTGTATGTTTTCGTATGTAAGGTGTATGAAAGTGAATCTTCTTCTAAAAAATTTCGATATAATTTTGTTTAACCCCACAAGTTAAAAATATAAAATGTTTTTTGTCGTTCATAATAAAAACACAGATATTTCCGGCTTCCATCCTTAAATGACGTTGTTGGTTTTTTTTTTGCTTTGCTAAAAATTTATGACAAAAATGGATTCGATGCAGCTGCTTCCGGTTTTAACCAAGGCATATTATTGTTATTCTGTAAAATAAAAATGCAAAAGAAAATAAATTAATAGAAGAAAACATAGGAAAAAATAATTTAAATTAAATAAATTTGATAGAATTGTAAAGAAAATCTCATGCAAACATTTTCTTTTGTTTTTGGGAAGGATTAAAAAGGGTGTTACAATAAAATACAACCAATAAGAAGATACTACTGAAACAACTACTACTAAACGTTAAGGTTTGTTTATTTCTATTGTTTATATTAAGAGTATTAGTAAATTTGGCTAAGCGTGTTCTTAAACGGATATTGTGTAACAAATATATTCGTTCTTGTTGTAGTTAATTGTAGTTAATTATGTTTAGTTGTTGTTACCCATTTTTTATTTAAGCGTCCAAGCTTCCATTGATGGCTACAAGATATAAAATTGCAAGGAATATTTAAATTAGCATTAACAATTGTTTTTTTTTTTTGTTTTAAGTTCAAAAAAGGGATTCTTAAAATTAGTATAAGAACATTTTATTTTAGCTTATTATAAATGTAATTTTAGTTTGTAATGCAGGCATTCATAATTTATTCAAAATTGAAATACAATATTTGAGAAGAACAAAATAGCAGATAAAATTCGCCGAATCTTCAGGATTGCAGTTATGTTGGTTACAATTTTAAGCATTATTAGATGTAAGGTAATAAATAAGCTTTTGGCTTTTAACAGTTTTGCTTAAAAAGATTGTAATCTACATAATCTGAAGTATTTCGAATGCCCTAATGAAATAAGTACAAACGATACTTTATAATGTCTCATATCATATATCAAGTTTAATAATTGCAAGAAACCCCCAAATCCGATGAACCAAACATTTTAGAACATAATCGTGTCGTAATGTGATCTTTTAAATGATACTTAAATTTTGAGTAAAAAAAATGCAATGGCGTAATACATGAGCCATCACTGCTTTTGCGTGAGTTTTTGATTAAAAAGAAAACCTTTATTATACTAACTATGCTCTCCCCAAAACTTTAGACATCGACTTAACATAAGACTAAATTACTTTAAAGGGTGCAAAGAGTGGTTGTTGATGAATTTCAAGTAAAAAAGGCGTTAAGTTCGGCCGAACCGACCGACGTTTCCTTTTGTCAATCTTTGTTTTTTGTGTACTTTGTGGTGCCAGTGTTGCCATATTTTCGATTTATTTTGCGAATGCGTTTACGTGAGCCATACAGAGTACCAAATTGTACTCTTAACGCATTTAGCTTTCGCATAGCACTTGCTTTCGCAACGCAATACAGAGTAACCCCCCTGACCTAATAGTTTTAGATCTCCGAAAGTATTATGATTACGACAGATGTACAGATGGAAAAAAACTACTATATAGTCTTAGAATTCCATAATTTGTAGGATATAACTATTAACTATTTAAACATAAAAAGGGTTATATGGGGACTACCTCAAAAAGGGAATCCAAAATACCAAATTACATCCTTTTCGGTTTAGAAACTTGATCAAACTGCCCAAAATACCGAATATGGAGGGATACCTTTATATGGACCGATATTGATATTTTTAATGGGAAGATTAGGTACCCAATAAGAATGCAAAGTACAAAACTACAGCGAATTCTTATAAAAAACACCAAAATTTGGGAGGGTAAGGTGATATGGGGGCTATGACTAAACGTGGACCGATATTTATCAGTTTTGGTAGGAAGATTTGGTTCGTAATAACAATCCAAAATACCAAATTACAACCACTTCGGTTAGAAAAAAAAAACGAAAACTTCGGGGTACCTTTATATGAGGCCTGTCAGAAAAAATGAATCAATGAATCAGAAAAAATGAATCAATTAGTTGTGGGGAAATGTGGTACCCAAAAAGGAAAGAATGTACCAAATCACATGTAATTCCTTTGAAAAAAAAACCCTCAAAACTCCAAAAAAACCTTTATATGGGGGCTATGTATAAACGCGGAACCATATTGATAATTTTTGGTAAGGATATTTGGTTCGAAATTATAACCCAAAATACCAAATTGCATGTAAGTCCCTTAAAATCTTGCTCGAAATCGTCAAAATACCGAAAATTGGGGGCTATGCCTAAACGTGGAGCCAATAGTCCAATATCGAACATGACCTGCCTGCAGACAAAAGAGACGGCGATCTACCTCAATTCGTTAAGATGCAACAGTGATTACAACAGACAGGCAGACATATCTAAATCATCATCGAATGTTACACTGATTAAGAATAAATATACTTCATATGGTCAAAAATTATTATTTCGATAAGTTACAAACGGAAAAACAAACTTAATATGGCCTCCATTCATGTTGGAGGGTATAAAAAACGGTTCATTTCATGGTTGGACCTCAAATCAAAGTAAAATCCTTATAGAATCTAAATTAAAATCAGACAGATTCTGAACATTTTCAAAATAGGGCACATAATTGAGTCAACAAATAATTTTAAAAGGCCTGGAACATGTATATATATATATATATATATATATATTATAAATCAAAAGCTACTATAAATGTAGACCTTTCTACACACCGAAAATACAACATTTGGTTAAAATGGGTGAGAAATAGAAATGTATTGTATTTTCGGCAGACACTGAGAACCTGAAATAATTTATTTCACACACTTGATGAATATTATTTATTATGTAGACGATGAATCCATAAAAGCACAGGGCATTTAACTGTCGTAGCAAATGAATATATAACTCCGAAAAATACAGTTGTTACAATGAACAACATGTAGATATCATTTCAGGATGACTTGTTGGAATATTATTTATTATGTATGAATATTATTTATTATGAAAAATAGACGATGATATCCAGGATGATAACGTCCAAAATTATAGAAATCATAATATGATTATTACAAAATATAATATAATACGTTATTTAGGTAGAAAAATATTAAATGAAAAGCGCAACATTGTTTTGGAATTTCAATAAATTGCAATTATCAACCAGAATACTATTTTAGCAATAACGAAACAATAAACAAAAAATTAAATATTAAAATAAATTAAAATTTATAATAATAGCACAACTCAAAGAAGATCAAAACAAATCACGCTACATTTCCACATCTTGTACTCACTTCCAATTTACACTGGGTACTATTGAAATCATTCGTAGTGTCATAGAAACCATAACCAAAGAGATTTGTGGTCACATTTGTGGACTGTTGATTTAATGGCGTTATGGTAACTCCAGGTGTAGCAGCCAAGGTGGCTGATAAAATTTGACTATAATTAGAGGTGAATGTGGATGACGACGTCGGTGTTGATGTCGATGGCATTGTTGCCGACATCAAATTTGGATTTTTCATAGATCCAATAGCAGCAGTTGATTCTAAAGACGTGTTGTTGTTGTATGAATACGAATTGTTGTTGCCGTAGTGATAGTTGTTTTTGTTCTGATTTTGATTATGAGTTTGATTGTTGACATTAAATACATCAGATTGTATCGGAAAGAAGTTTGCTGCGGGGGTACTGGAATATGATGCAAAGGGTTGGGGCACAGGGGAAGCGGGTGAGGGCGAGGATGGTGGTGACGACTTTAATGATGAATAAATATCATTGTTATTAATTATTTCAACATGAGGATATAGAGAGGGATATGACAGATGTGTCGAAGTATTATTGTTATTTTTGAATAAATCCATAGAATCCATAAAGGTATCATTGCCCAATGTAATATTACGTAAATCATTAACAGAACTATTGAAGAATGTATCAATATTTTGATTGGAATTTGTATCGACTTTAAAGGCATCATAATCACTTTTAGAATTTTTCATTGTATTGGGATAAACGCTATTAAAGACATTACAATTACTGTTATAATTGTAATGATTTGTGTTCATCGTGTGTGATTTAGAATTCATATTAATCGTTGCATTCTCATTAAAAATGTCAGCAGTAAACTGCTAAATATACACGTAAAAGAATGAACGGAAAATTGGGGAACAGCCATACCAAACAAGAAGGAAATTTCAATTTATTTCGATAGGGGAAAAGAGATTGTAGCAATACAAAGATGAATGCAGTTTTGTTTGTTTATTTTGTGTTAAAATAAAAATAAAGAGAAGAAAAATTAAATAAATATTTAAAAGGAAACAAATAAACAAAGCACAAACAAAAAGAAAATGAAAAAATAAGTAATTAAATAAATAGAAATTAGGAAACAAAAATAAATGATCAGACAAATTATATTATTGCTAAAAGATAAACACGATGTTAATTCAATTATTCCCTAATAAAAATTACCGATATACAAATAAACTTCTCAATGACATAATATGTAAATTAGAGAGAAAAATATGCCTAAAAAATCTAAACATTTGTTGTTCTCTTAAAAGAGGATCATTAAGGTATTCTGTAAGAAAAAATTCTTTGTTGAAATTGGCATTCATTACTTTCATGTTAGAAAAACTATGAAGACCTTCAAAGTCTCATACAAGAAAAGCTTTATAACATATAATAAACCTGTGATTAAACGAAGACCAGATCTTCAATAAGTATATCCCACATCAATAAAGAGAAATAACATTCGATTTTCTATCGAAAAAAGAAAGACTAAAAGACTAAACTAAAGCAACTGAAATTGCAAACTGAATAAATGACCTGTATATCTTTATTTATGAACAAGTTATGCGGCATTTATTAACTTTGCAATTTTAGTTGTTTTAGTTAATGCCACCAGTGTATAACAAAAACCGTTTTGTCTTCTATAAAAATCAAGTTAGACGACAATAAGTCCTTTCGGCAATGCAAATTTCTATGAGAAAACCTGAGAAACCCTCTTCCGGACTTTATATAAAGATTTTCCGATAGAAATCAACACCGCCTGTCCAGTAGACAATTTAATCTTCCGAACTTCTAAAAAATACCTCTCAATCTACAGTTCATCTATAGAGGATTGTCTGGTAGAGCTACTGCCTTTTTGACAGCTGCGCTTATTGTATCATATGCTAACCATCAACGTCTATTATTTAACCCATATTTTAACAACAGTAGGGTTAAAAATAATGCAACAATATCCTATAAATGAGGGCACAAAACATTTATTTTCCCTCAATAGTGCTTGGGAATGTGTTTACGACGTAAATAAAATTAAAATTCTGCGAATTTCCAATGAATATTAACTTTGTAGCAACTCAAAGTTTACTGATCTGCACGGAAATATTATTGTTTCATTTTCAGTGGAAATTGCTCAATCACATTTTCTTTTTTGTTCACTAAATTCACATTCCTTTAACTCCCACGACAAAAATCTCAATTAAATTCCTTTTACCAATTTATTCGATCCAAAGCTTACGGTTTCCCAATCCCCTACCAATTCAGAATAACAAAAATAATTGTACAAAAAATGTGTGTCCCTCCGCACTTACCTGTGACGCTGTAATAGTATTACTAGCTGGTGCCCATGGATCTTGTTGCATAGTCATTTGGAACGATTGTTGTTTCAGTTGATTAATGGACGGCACCTAAAATAAATATGGCAATCAAATGAATTTAGTTAAATTCTTATGAAAACAGTTATTTGTTCAACGTACTGCTGGTTGTTGTTGTTGGAACAAATTTGTTTTTGGTGGTATAACAGTATCACTAAATGGATTATAAGCTGCGGCATTTGTTGTGTTTTGGGGTACTGCGGGCTTTATTAAATTATCTAAATTGACCAAACTTGAATTTTCACCCAAAAATGCCTGTGGATCTTTGAGAGGTCTCTTCGATGTAGCTCCTGTCGATGCATTAACTGTTGATGTGTTCTTTGTCGATAGGGGATCCAAATCATCAAGGAGATTAGCTGTAAGGGAAGGAAATGTATATAAATATGGTGTTCTAAGTAAAAACACAATTTGTTTATGAGAACAAAGTTAACATTTACCATTATTATTGCTGGCATTTGATTGTGAATTGGTTGCAGTCAAAAGATCACCGGTTAAAGTTTTGTTACGATTTGTTATTATATCGAATTCATCCAAATCAGGAGATGGCTGTAAAGAAATAAAAGTGAGTATTAGGACTATTTGTGGCAAAAAAAAAAAATGATGTGTTGATGCAAAAATCAATAGATATAAAATCCTAAGTTCTACCTGCCTTGAGTATTTTGAATGTAAAGACAAAATCTTTGCTGTTTTGTCAATATGAGTCCTTTTTGGTATAATTCCCATTGGGAGACTAGACATTCTTAAATGAATATATATTTTTGTGTAACGCCTATTTGATGTAATTCGTTATTTTGTTTTTTTTTCGTGTTTTTATAAACTATACACTTTTTTTTATCAACATAATGATAAAGTAGACAAGGAATTATATATCTCTAAGCTTTTGTCTTATATGTATTAACTGTGAATTAATTGTATATATTAAAAGCAATAAACAGAAATTAAAGATCTACAAAATATATAATCCATAATATATATTTTTGCATCTACGTTGTTTTAGCACATTAGCCTTAAAACCCGCCATTTCTGTTCTACAACGGATTAATTGTTATTCGAGTTTCAGTCCCAAAAATCTCTTTTAATTTTTGTTTCACTTTGCAACTGGCTTTGTAGTACTAACCTTAACTTGTGGATTTTCTATGCTCTTCCAAGGATCACTATTAGTATCGTTAGTTTTAGGTGCCCAAGGATCATCGTTTACCAATGTCTTGGGCGGTGTTGCAGTCACAGATGGTTTATTACTCTCCGTTAACCAAGCATCGACAGATGCAACATTTGCCGCTGCTGTTGCTGTGGGCTTCGACGACGAAAGCCAAGGATCAGCCGTAACAGCGGCGGCAACGCCATGACTATTGCCATTTGTTTGTAACCATCCCTCGGTCGATGACCCTGATGTTACAGATGGTGATTGTGTACGCATACCCCATGCTTCAGCACCATTTGTACCATTACTATTCATGGCTAGAGCTGCACCCATGCCACCAATAGCTCCCATATGAGCGGCACTTAATGGTGTGGAACGTGATGTAGATGCTGGCTGCCAGGGATCTACAGGCGGTGATGCTGTACCAGTCCAGGGATCGGACATTTGACTGGCTGCCCTTGCCGGCGTAATCCAAGGATCCGTAGTAGTTGTAGTTAAACCGCCAGCGGCTAAACCCAATGGTGGACTTGAAATACTTGTAGCTCCCAATTGTATATCCAAAAGATCCAGTAGGTGTGATTGAGGTTCCTCCTGTTTTTTAGGTTGTTGTGGTTGGTGTTGAGTGTTTTGCCTAGAATGTAATTCATTCCTTTATGAAAAATGGTAATCATGCCTCCTCCATGTGAAATGGAAAACACATAAGAATAACCTACTTGAAGTCCTGTTCACTTTGGCTCAAAGCTAGTTGCAGGCGTACATCATCACTGCGACGCTTAGCTTCCTCCTGTTCGGCTTCTTCGCGAGACATGGCCATGGCCAATTGTAGTTGTAACTCCTCCTCGCCAGCAGTTTGTGGGCGTACCATTTCCAATTCAGAGGTGGGTTTTGTGGGTTCCTCTTGCCATCCGGGTGGCATATCACGTGCAACGGGGCCATCAATATAACCATCACTACCAAATCCACTGGGATATTGGGCAAAACGCTCCTTGGCCTTCAGCGCTTTAATACGTTCATTCTTTAGACGTTCATCGTCCTTAAGGAGATTAACCAATTGCTTGGCCTTTTCGCGGACATGATTGCCCTGATCTTTGCCCTCCTCATGATAGACAAATTCACGTAATGTCTGTATGGCGAAAATATTCTCTTTACATTGTTGGGCAACCTTCTCGTTGCCAGTTTTGATGAGATATTCCAGAAGAATTAATGCTTTGTAGACGTGACGCCAATTTTTGCCATGATCATTGAGACGTTTCCAGATCATTTGCATGATTTCGGAAAATGCTACCACATTATTTGTTAATTCGGCCAGTTCGGCCATAATTGTGGCCGAAGGACCCCATGGGTCGTTCGATGTGGCCTCTCGTACTTTGACCTGAACAAAGTGAAAACAAATTGATTACTAATTTTATTTGGAATATTAAAAAAAATACTAACCTGGGCATCGGAATAATTGTGGGCTAAATTCTTGATATTGCGTCGTAGACCTGCCACATTGACTTGCATATCGTCCTTATGTTTTCTCACTTGAAAAAGATAGAAAGAAAAAGTTATTATTTTCGGTGTTAAAATAAATAGCACTGGAAAAAGAAAATAAGTACAGAGAAATTACTGATTTTTTTAAGTTTTCCAATAAAAGTTATGTTTGCACGCTTTTACTAGGAATTTTTTGTTTAAAATATTCAACAGCTCATTAACTATCGAAACCGTTCCATTGAATTATTGAGTTACAACTGAATAACGTAAATAAGACTTCTGTGAAAATGTCCACTAATAAGGAAAAGCCTTACAAGTTTTTTTGTTTTCTTTTTTTTAACAATTTGACAGCAGTCTGAGTGACACTAAAGACTTTATAATAGTACCATACCGCGTTTGCGTCACATGTTGTGCAAAATACAATGTTTATTTTTTTGTGCATTGCACAAGCTATGTAAATTTAACGCATATAACATCCTCTCCCCTTCTCTTTAGAATATTACATGTTGATTGAGATAATGATTGAATCGGTTTGCTTTACGTTATTAGATTTGATAACTAATTTAAACATAACTTTTATTGATTATTTTTACATAATGTAAATGTTTTTTTATATATAGGCAATTTTGACACATGCATTTCGCTGATGATGAATAATTAATTATTAGGGATAATTTGATTTATTTGTGCTAAAAGTTGCCCATTAAAAAACATTTACTGATTTTATAACAAAACAAAAATATTAATTTAGTACTTATGTATAAAAAAAACTCATAAGTTGTTTTTATGTGTAAAATAAAAACCAAACAATTAAACGTAAATAAATTGTGTGTTTTTGAAAACAGTTTGCATTTGAATTATAATGTATTTTTTTGGAATTTAATTTTAATGCGATTACTAAATCAAATAATAAAATAAAAACAAATACCACAAAACAAACATGTATACGTGATATGATGACTGACTGAACTTCGTTAAAAATTGGTGTGGTAGTGTAAACGCCAAAGTTTTTATAGTTAAAAACAATTATGTTAATAAAGTGTTTATGGTGATTATCTTTTTTGGATTTATGTGTAATTTATGTAAATTATTATAGTTGCCAGATAAATTTCCTTTTTCGTGTTGTTTGCATAAAAAAAATCATTTATGAGGGCTACCCATTGGGAACGGGAAACGCCAATTGACACCCAATTCACTTGGAAATGTCGATTTGACCTTCAATGTATTATTAACCTGCAATACATTTTTCAGGCGGATAGGCGAGCCTGTGCTATACGAAATTTGTCCTTTATCTGAATATATAAAAGAGCTAAGTGAGTGACTGACGGATCATCGCCCAAACGAAACGGCTGAAGCTAAAAGCTTGAAATTTTAAGTATGGGTTGTTGTTGGTGTATAGACATGAGAAAAGGCTGGGTTTTTGGAAATTCTAACTAGAAGGGTACGAAAAGTACTAAAATAGTCTAGAATTCTGAAATTTGGATTGTGAGTCGCTGCTGGAAAGTTTGTGTTGTAAGTGTACGAAAAATACTAAATATTTCTATGGCTTCCACATCTTTCCTATAATTGAGCCATTGCCATATATATGTGTAACACATATGAAAATGCAGGGAATAGCGAGTTGTTCCTTGAAGAAAGATTTGCTTCCTCAAACTTTCCCAGCAGGCAGATTGAGTAAGTTGAATACGGGAGCACATTTAATAAAGAACAATTACAAATTGAATGCGTTCCCAATTTTCCTTTTGGGTGATTTTTAAAAACATAATTTGTCAAATTCATATTGACACTAGTATTACGCTGGAATCAAATCAGCTGGGACTTGCTGTTACCTTTTATAATTGTACCATGATATATAGATAGAATTTTGATTTTTTATATGGAATACAGGTTGGGAAGTTTTGTTGATGTATAGGCATGGTTTTAGAAGTTCGTACTTATATGTACGAAAATAACTAAATGGTACTAAATTTGGTACTAGTTGGATTTATATTTTATATGGAATACAGGTTGGGAAGTGGTGTTGATGTATGGAAATAGTTTTAGAAGTTCGTACTTATATGTACGAAAAAAACTAACAGATTGAGCTGGGGTCTTGAAATCGGGAATTAAAATGACTGTTAGACTATATGATTGAGGTAGTAAATTTAGTATAATTTGGACTACATGACACAAAATTTGGTACAGTTTGGATTCCTGAGATTTTCGAATTATTTATGTTTACGAATAGCGTTTGAGCGAAATGAGCGTTTTTTTAGTATAACTTATCGCAACACATAGTGTAAGGTTTTTTTTTTGTTTTTGCAATTTACTGCATAATAATGTGGATTTTAAACAAATGTGAAAATAATTGTTGTTCGCTCTTCTCTCGAGTTGGTTCTTTACTCTAACCTAGGTCCACAAGATATAATCTTCTAAAATGTCGCTTGAAAATTTCAGCCTGAAGACAAAAATCATTGTTGACAAACATAGAGTCTTCTATCATTGGAGACCTATAGGGCAATTCTACTTCGGTTTCCCGCTATTATAGTTAATTGATTATACCGACAAAGATGCGACATTCTAACACGATTCTGGCGTGTCTTTATTATCTTGAGCTATAAAACCAGAAAAAATCACTAGATATTCTCCAAAATGGCGCTTTCACGATATCAGTTGAAAGAGAAGAAAACCATTATTTGTAATGTCATTTTTACCAGAACCTTTGTTAACTACTTAGGTGCGCCTCACGGTAGACCAACTCAAAATTCTAGCCTTGCAAAAATAATTGGCTTACTAATATCGATAATATGTATGAATTGACTTTAATCGATGTTAGTATGTATATCATCTTTTAGTATGATGATGTCTTAAGATCCTCTCCAATAGGATGAAATATATATCATACCAATTTATACATCAGTAAAAGTTTAATTTTAACCTAAGGTTCCGATCTTTTGGAAATGCATTCCTCCAACCTAATTTTCTTAATATAAGCAGATTCGCATTCTTCATTATGGGACCTTATTGCTGAAACATTAATGATATTGTCTTTGTAAAACATTCTGGCAACACATAGTGTAAGGTTTTTTTTTTTTGCAATTTACTGCATAATAATGTGGATTAGAATAAATAAACAAATGTGAAAATCATAAATATATACATACATATTTGTAAAAATGTCTAAAACATTATTGACATGATTGAAATAAAAATTAGAGACGAGTTATTATGACTGAGGTGCGGATATCGAAAATCGAAATAAAAATACAACACATTTTCAATAAGAACTTACTTTTCAAGCCTTTTTATTTGTTTATTCTGTTTATGAAAAAGGCTGTCTTGCGAGAAAAAGCTTTTTGCTGTTTTGGAAGTATTTGTTTTTTGTTATTGGAAAAGTTGGTTAGAACTTTAATTGGCGTTTGTTTGTTTAGTGCTCCAAAAGCAAGCTGAGAGAAAGATTAAATTTATAAGAACAAATTTAAAGCAATTTTTAATAAATATTAATTTTTTATTTTAGGAATTTTATTTGCAAACTTTGATCCTATATATGTAAAGAAATAACAAATGAAATGGAAACCATTAAATATATTGAAATTAGAAAATAATTAACAATAAAAAAGGCATTCGTTAATGGTCGAGATAAAAAACATTAACGGGTCTGGGGATAACATAAATACAATTAACATGGAGTAAACAAAACAGAAACTTGTTCCTTAGATACTACTTAGGGCTAAAAATCTATTCTTTTGTTTATTCCTTAAGTATGAATAAAATTTAAGGTATGACATATATAAGAACAATTGAGGAAAGGGTATATAAAAAACAAACCATACGCAAAAGATCCTATCTTTATGGAAGACCTGTAAAATTATCTTCATCTTTATATATTTTGATTTGACATGGGAAAATATTTTTTATGTAAAAGGCTTATACAAAATTCTTCAGTGTGTAGAATTTCTCCTATATATTATCTATCGCTTCTAAGGAGACTTCTTGGAGGTATAGGAATTCGATTTATCTTCAGGTCACAGTGAGTCGTCTTCTATTCATATATCCATATGTCATTTTTATGCACTATTACAATTCTTATTTACAATTTGTATTAAAAATTAAAAACAATACAATTATTTAAATTTTCTGTTATTGTTCTTTGTTCAATTTTTTCGTTGTCAAGGGTCAGTCACTGTCGAGGTCATTCATTCATATTGGTTTGAACATTATTACACTTGCGCTGTTATAAAGACAAATGAATACGGCCGGCATAACAAAGGGGATTCAATCAAAGTACTTTTACTAATATTTTGTTAAATTGGGAATAAAGTCGGATATAAGGTAAGGAAGAAACTATTTTATTACACAGCAACTATATTATTGTCACAGTAGACAAAAGCAATTAGGCAGATTTGTTTTTGGAATGAAAAATTTTATTTCAATTGACTTGGTGACCAGACAAAAGAAACCATAATAGTGTTTCGAAATAACTAGACATAATGGAATAGATCGATAAATTAAACTACGAAGAATATTCAAAGAAATTTTGAAAAAAAAAAAATATTATGGAGGGTATATTAATTTTGTCATTCCGTTTGTAACTCATCGAAATATTAATTTCCGACCCTATGAAGTATTTTTATTCTTGATCAGGGTAAAATTCTAAGTCGATCTAGCCATGTCCATATGTCTATTGTAAACACGCTATCTTCTGAAGTAATTGAGATAAGGTGCTGAAATTCTGTCTTTTGTCTGCAGGCAGGTCAAGTTCGAAGGTGGGCACGTTTAGGCATAGCTCCCATATAAGGGTACCCCCCAATTTTCGGTATTTTGGGGTTCTTGAGTGCGTTTTTCAACCGAATTTTCTGAAATTCAGTACATTGAGTTTTTATTGCGTACTAAATGTCTCCACAAAATATTATAAATATAGGTGGTAGCCCTTAAATAACGGTACCTCCTAATGTTCAGTATCCACCGAATTGGCTGTAATTTAATATTTTGAGTTCTTAATAGGTTCCAAATCTCTCCACAAAAAATTATGAATATAGGCCAATTTTTTCGGGTAGCCCCCATATAAGGG